TTGCTATCGATGTATTTGCTAATATCATGGAATAGTTTTTGTCACGTTGGCCATAGGGAAGTTTTTTTCCGAACGTTGATCACATCGCGGTAAAAGAAGAGATCACACCAATATTTGGGTGATAACTGCTAAGATACTATATGTTGGCATAAACCATCAATTCATCCTCGATAATTTGTTCTAGGAAGTCTCAAATATCTTTCTCTTATTTTATGGCTAGTTGGTAGTCGAGATCAATGGTCTTACCACCATTTGGATCAGTTCAAATTGATGAGCATAGAGGTTGGAGCTGTAAGCTTTAGTAAGTACCAAATCTCTAAGAGAACTATATGCATGGAAGGCATCTAGTCTTCTAATTTGTACTCCATATTGATTGTTCACCGAGTAGAAAACTGTATTTTATGGAGCAATTTGTTCAAGCAAAACCATAATGGCCCATACCTGTATGCATGGAAGGCATCCAATCTTCTAGTTTATCTCACCTATGCTTAAGGTCAAGAATGTAACTCAAAGCATTAGAGAGTGAGGGAGGACGAAAGGGTGCATCATGGATGATGGAGTGACCATAGCTATCCAAATCTTCTTTGACATGATGAGGTAGATTCAAGGTTGGAAAAGAGATTTCTTCCCAAGATCTGAATGAACCAAAGAGGACAACATAAAGTCTTAAGCTCGTTAATTGATGCATCACATAGTCTTGCATAAGCACAGGTGAGAAAAAGTAGACCTATTGTGACTTTGCTCATCCCATCAAGTGAAGCCAAATTGATAGCCCAAGGAAAAAAAGCTTTAATTAATTTGTTTGACTTCGAATCGATAAGGTATTTACAGAACCATAAGAGGTAGAAGTTAATTTGTTCATCACAAGATACTTCGTCCCGTCTCCATAGCGATCAACTAAGTGTGCATAAGTTTTGAAAGTCTATTTTCTTAGATTTTGAGGTTTTCATCATTTGCTTTGAAAGCTAAAGTTTGGCCAGTGGGATATAAACAGGTGATGGCCATCATGTCAAGTAAAGTCATCGATATATGCCCTTCGGGAACTAAAACTAGTTCCAAAAAGTGATCATGGCTATTACTAAGCTAGGATTTATATTATAAGAGTAGGTTGATAAGAGGATGGCTTCATGAATCCTCATTACATCCCATTTATTGTCCAATTGTGGGATAAGCCTTTTTTTGACCTACTCTTCATATTTGGCATCTATTTTTGGTCAAATAATAGGAAAAGCTTTGGCGATTGGGTCCAGTTTTGTAGAGTTAGATAAAATTCAAGTGAAAAGAGAATGCCGATCACAAGTCTTTAGGAAGACCATATCGTTCATATCTGCAAGAGGGATAACTTTAGTGTTGATAGTAGGACCTAGCATCTAATAAGAACTCTTATCTCGGATTCTTCTTATGACCAATCATAACATCGATAATGTCATTATTGGCAACGAGTCTAAACCAAATAGGTGTTGATCGTGCTCGTTTGCTTGAAGAGCTCATTTAATCGATAAGCAACCCCCCGAAAGGTAATTTTCTCTTAAATATTTTTCTTCAAAGATTTAATATTTCATTTTGAAGCCATTTTTATGGAAGAAATGAAAGAGAAAAATTAACGAGAGGTTAGAAGAGATGTTCAATGGAATGATAGAAAAAAAAATGCAAGGATTTTTGTCTTGCAAAATTTTAGTAAAGGAGAAAGTTGCGGTAAAAGTGAAAATACTTGAAAGTCACATTTTCTTTTTTATATGATGTGTTTTAAGGGTCAAAATGTTTAAGTGTTAAGATTTAATAGTTTAGATGTGGTAAGACAAAGTTCACTCGATTTTTGAGTAACCAAGGCATTAAAATGATTATGGATAGCTATTTGAGAAATGAAACGACACGACGTCTTATCATGTCTATTAACATTTAATATTACGCCCATTATAGGAAAAAAAATTTCATTTCATCTTTAAAAGGCTAAAAGGAGGGGCATGTGTTAGCACTTCAAAATTCAAGGCCACACATTGATTAAATATAACATCTCCTCATGATGAAACGAGTAAAGCATAAGTAGAACGGTGCGTTTGGTCTCATGAACTAACCAAATTTCGATAAAGCCTTAAGTCTTAAATGAAACGATGCGTTTGATAGTTTCGATGAAGCATTGAGTCTTTAAGAAAATGATACGTTTGGTCTAACAACCAACCAAGTTTCGATAAAATCTTAAATGTTTAATGAAATAATATATTTGGTTTTATAACCAATCAAATTCGACGAAGCTTTAAGTCTTAAGTGAAATGATGTGTTTGGTAGTGTAGCCATCAAGGTTTCAATAAAACAATAAGATTTAAGTAAAACGATGCATTTGGTTTTACAATCAATCAACATCAACAAGACGATATCTATAAAACGAAACAAAGGGACGAGTTACCAAATAAGCTGTTCTTGCTTAAATTTAAATACAAAGCGAGTTTGTCAATCAAGATCTATTTAAAGAAGAGGGACCAACGAGAATCAAACACGATCAACAACACAAGACTTTTTATACAAGTTTATTCAATTTTCTTAGTTTACCCCGTAATGAGTTAGTTCCTATTTTCTTGCAAGTAGTTCGATTTTTTTTTTACTTGTCTCCAGCAATTTCATTTTTGTAACTTAGGAGGTGTTGATCTATCAAAATGGCATCGAATATCTCAATAGCTAATTATGTAAATGTCATATTTTTTGATCTATGATGTTTATATTCTTTTTAATAAATTTTGTCTCTTCCGATTAATAAAATTCTTCACTTTATTACTTTTTCTTTAAATTAAATACCCATGGAAAGTCCTAGTGGCTTGCTAGGCAAAATCAAACCTCATAATATTTCATCGCGAAGGGCGTAATCACAAATTAAAGCATCAATATACTCCGCTTTAAGATGAAATTCAACAACAATCATGATCTTGTTTTATGTTTTGCGTGATGACTATGAAACCATTCTTGGTCGATTGGACCATTCTTTTTAATCAACACATCCATCATCAAAGAAATTGAACTGGTTGTAACTTGCAAGAATTGACACCAATAAGTTCACTCTCTTAATTTCTCCTCCTTCAGAATGTTTTATTTATTTATTATTTGTTAGAAATGAGAGGATTGAACCTGAGATTTTTGAATACAGAATATGCATATATACTTTACGAGTTTGATAGATTATTAGATACTCTAAATGCTTTGTTCTTCCTGTTTGTCCTTAAATTCAGACCAGGCGCATAAAATTTCAACAAGTACATTAGTGGGGTGGGAATGTCGAATTTGCTAAAGTCTCTAAATTTGAATTGAGAGAAATGATTAGGTAGATTTAATTTAGGACATCATCTGTAGAACGATAAAAACAATACACATAGACATATTTACGTGGAATACGTACATCTTATGCAGTTTTGCTTTGGTTCTGGCTGAAGTCAAATTTTACATATGGAAGAGAATTTCTTTTTTTTTTCCTCCTTTTTTTTTATAATTATTATTACAAAGGAAAGTATAGATTCCAACTTGAGATCTGTGAAAATTTTAAATGTAATAAATTAGACATGTTCACTATAGAGTACTAAGCCCTTTTATTTATTTATTTATTTATTATTTTTTTTTATGAACTCAATTACTCAACACGTCCCTTCTCTCTCTCTCTCTCTCTCTCTCTTTTTTTTTTTTTTTTTTTTTTTTTCTATAGGTTGAAATTGGTGCAAGATTAAAAATCGAATGACTGGGTAATCTATTAAAAGAAAGAATATTATAAGAGAAAAAGTTAGTTTAGCCCAAATTGGTTGAAATCCGTGAAGATATATATTTTTTTACAAATAATGTGATCGAAATTTCATTAAAAGATGAAATATTAAAACAGAGATGTTAATTAAAAGTGTAAAAGTTGATTTATAAGAATACTAGTTTCTTGGCATTTATACTGTTTAAATAATTTATAGTATTTATTTTTCTAATTTGTAAAAGACTGTTTAAAGTTATTTATAAATAAGTAAATTTGAATGTTTTTTAAATAAATATTTTTTATTTTCAAATAATTTTACATAAAATTTGATAATTAGAATTAGATTGTTTGTTTAATTTTTGAACCATATTAAAAAAAAAAAAAAAAACTGGAGTTGAGTAAATAATAGGGACATAAATATAATTATCTTTCAAGATTTAAATATATGTAACTCTTAAAAATAATAATTAGTAAATTTTTTTATTTAATTTATATTATTATGAAACTTTTTCTATTTTAAACAATTCAATTATATGGGACATGAATTTAAATTAACGATAAGTACATGAACACAAATTTATAAATTATTGTTGTAATTGTTTTTAGAATGTGATATAGTATAATTTTGAATGAGACGGTGATATAGCCTCCAAATATCATAATGTACTAAATTAAAATTATTTTTAAATTTATTTGTGCAAGTTGAAAAAGACAATTTAGTCTGCTTTTTTTTGACAATAGGCATCACCAAAAAAAATTCTTTGATGAATTAATCATAACATATAACTTTGAAACTGACGACATTCAGTTCATTGGTATATGTTCCAGAGATAAATGTCACAAATTCGTTACATTGTGTCTGTTTTCTATAAAAGCCTTTTTTGCTTCTCTTGGTTGCGCACTCTAGTTACTCCAAGTTCTTCGAGAATAAGTTTGGTGTTACACAAAAATCAGATAAAAAAAATTAAAATACAATTAAAATCTCAAATTAATTTACTGACAAAAAATAAGTTAAAACAAAATTTGAGCACCCTTAAAACTTGTTCAAAAATTAGATTATGGCTAAGTTTTACTTGGCCCAAAGCACGAAAGGGGATATAGTCTCCATCAGGAATTTGAATTGAGAGAATGACTGAATTTATATGGACATTAGTCATACAATCAATGTTGTATGCTATATAATCTTAGTTTTGGTCTCAATTATCCATGGTTCTGGCTTACTAGAAAATCCTTGTATAGCCGCATAGAGTGACTAATTGTTGGATTTGGGCTGCTGTAAAACTTGGCAGTTGGGCTGCCACACTAGTGGATTGAGCTGCTGTAAAATCAGATTGGGCTGCCACGCTAATGGATTGGGCTGGTGTTGAATGACACCATGCTGTTGGGTTTGAGGCTTGGACTTCGGCCTTATGTTGGGCTAATGTTGAACCCGCAGCAATAATAGAAGATTGATAATTCATTGCTGCATCTGAAGGCGCCGCTGCGTGTACCGCATTAACAAAGGCCGATGGTGTCGCCATTCTGGTCCGTGACTGATCTCCTCGTTGCCTTGACATTCTTGTATGGTTACCACGGCTGCAGTGAGTTCAATGGAGGCGCCTCCTCCCTGCTCCCACCGTTATTGTCCACATTCATATGCAGGTTGTGTTTTTGCCAGCAACATCATGGCTTCAACTACGAGACCTCGAGCAACAACGACATGGCGTTGCTTTTCATCTTGGGCAGGTACTGCACAGGCCTTCCCAAGTCCTTGTAATGGTTCAGTACTCAAGATTTGCTACCGAACCATTTTGTAAGCATCATCCAACCCCATTAGGATCGAACTCAAAAACTTTTAATTTCTTCCTCATGCATTTGCTCTATGTATATTCTTCTCGCAGCTCCACAAGTGCAAACAAATATGAGTCTAAGATTTTACCCTTCACACCACACATTTTTCAATTTCCCATAGTATGTGGATATAGCTGATTTTTCTTACTGTAATGACGCTATTGTTCATTTCTGGGAGTAATTTCTTGCGTAAACCTCTTTTCAAAATCATTTCAAATTTCCCTCGTAGTATGGGCACGAACTGCACCGGTTTGTAATTCTTTAGCAACAGCATTAATGAGCTACGATTTGACCAATGTATTACATTGAATCCAAGATTGAAAATACCCAAAATTAATATCTGGTTTCGTCTATCAATCCATCCACGAATTCAACTTGTTTTTGAATTAGAGCGCATTGAGAAATTTACTCCTCCACGTGAAATAATTTTATTCGTTTTCACTTCAAGGCTGTGCGGCAAATATCAGATCTGGATGATTAGAAGGATGAAAAAAAATGGTATCAATTGTGATATTTAACATATTCGCAACGGATACCAAACACTAGGTTTAAAGCGACTTGTCGAATCAGTTCCTATAATTGAGGGAAAAAAAAAAAAAATTGGTTACGAGCCTTGCTTTGATACCATGAAGAATGTGAAATTATTTATTTTTAATTAGAACCTTAAGAGACTAATTAATAATTATTTAAATATATATATTTTTTAATTACATGCTTAATAGAATAATCAACAATCATTTAAAATATAATTACTTGTTTTTCACAAGCAATTCTCATGTTTATTTTTTATTTTTTTTATTTTTATAGAGATGATTTAATATATTAGTAAATATTACATCAATTTATTCAATATTATTCTTAAATGAATTATTATGATAATAATAATATAATAGATTTTTTAGCAATTAAAATATGTTAAATGACAATTTTTTGAACACCTCCATACTAACATTCCATACTAACATGTACTAATTATTTTTATATATTTTTAATTAACAAAAAATTCACAATAGTGCAATACATGCAATTATTTAATTTTTAATCACATCCTTAAGAGACTAATTAATAATTACTTAACTATAATTATTTTTTTAATTACATGCTTAATAGACCAATTAACAATTATTTAAAATATAATTATTTATTTTTTGCACGTAATTCTCATGTTTATATATATATATATATATATATAAAGATGATCTAATATATTAGTAAATATTATATCAATTTATTCAATATTATATATAAATGAATTATTATGATGATAATAATATAATAGACACTTTAGCAATTAGAAGATGTCACACTCGATCAGACTTGGTAATAAGGGAAACCGAAGAAAATAAGCCGCTGTTTCCATCTTATATGCAACTGAAAACCATACATACCTGCCGCTAAATACAGCATTTAGCCCAATAATACAAGAAAGGGCACTCTCTACTGGGCCGTAACCGAGCAAAATTGAGTTGAAAATGATGACATTCAAGATTAATGTGTATAAATTAAATCGGGTTCAAGTTTCTGCTGAGATGTTAATTTGTGCATGTAAGTTGTATAAAATACCTCATATTGACTAACAAGACAAGTTACACTGGTTTAATTCAATTGTCAAGATTTTTGAATCGAAAATGATGCACATTTTGATATATAAACCCTTACATAAACAGCACCAAGTGATTACCACTGCAGATCTTCCAAATAGTTTCACAGCTATCGAGCTCTACTAGTCTCAATTTGAATGTTAAATCATGGTAGGCGAATGACAGAACGAGCAGACCCATGAAAAATTGGACCATGATATTGACTGAGATGGATCAAATTTAATTATGTTCCTTGTCGTTTCACATTGTGTCAAAAAATAAGTGGAAGTTCATTTCTAGAAAAGCCATGTTACAGAGTCCAAAAATAATGGAGCCACTGCCCGTAGTGTCATCCGTAATTGCCAGAAGCAATAATATTTCTCACGACCTTGGCTCTTGTTGGCATGCTAGTGTCACCAAAATATAATTATGAGATTGTTCCATCACCTACAAACAATTATTTATAAAAGCTCCTCATATGAAGAAGAAACGCAAGCAAAATCCACTGTAAATTTTTATTTTGATACATGATCTATGGGGTGTTTAGATTACGATCCTTTTTATCGCCAATCATAACCAAAACTCCGCCGTTATGATCATCAAATTACCTCCAAAAAGCACCAAAGTAGTCCTTTTTACATTGCAAACAATAGTTCAATGTCAAAATTAATTTTTAAACTCAAATCAATTTTTAGTTAGTTTTTTTTATTAGGAATTTCTATACCTCAAAACGTTCAAACCCGGGGAGGATTAGATTTAAGATGGGCATGCAGGTACTCATGTCAGCCAAACTTTTGTTTGGTGGCTGTGTCACCGTTAATAGCGACCGAAACCTTAGAGAAAGGGTTCCAATCTAACCATCTTTTAGTCAAGTATTAAACAGAATGATCGAAAATTTAGGGGCATTTACGCATTTTAGCTGACAAATTCATAAAAAAGTTTTCAGATATACTTATACTTATTGAATATATCCCCATTACTTTTGGCAGCCTGTTTTTATGGCCGTCATTTGTGTTCCAATAATATCTGCAGCTATATCCTGTGGATATCCAATGATATTACTAAATAGAGGGCCTCAGTCCAATTTCCATGATTACTAATCTAATAATGACACCATAGGACTTACTGCACTAACAAATTTTAAGACAATGTTCGGTAAAGTGGAACAAAATAGGATAACTTTATTTATAATATCTTATATGAGGTGGGCAATCGATATCTTGGCTTGATTTTTGGTTATATTATCGTAATTTTTTTAGATTTCGTTTAGGTTTAGTAGACTTTATATTTTAGAAAAAAATGTTAATCTAGGGATTAGCCATATATATGAGACTTACTTTTCTAAATGCCATTTTACCTTGACTAAAAGCCATTAATGATACCATTTTTGTCATTATTGCAAATGCGGTTAAAACCATTATTTTTGTGGCAATCATGCATATTTATATATTCAAATTTTACCATTTACAAAACTGCAAATTAATTTCATTTAATTGAAAGAATCTAAATTGTAATACTATTGAGGAAAACTAAAAAACTCACTGTTTCAGAGAGAATAATGCATTATTACACAATCCGCTTTCATTGTCCAATATTGAGTAAAATATTAAGAACAGAAGAAATTAACTCCATAAATGCATGCATAGCATAACTTGTCAAGTAAATCTCAAATCATTCACCAAATAAGAAACTAAGAGGCCTATCAAGTAGCATTAATTACAAATTTACGTGTTCAATAGCTAGGTAATTCACAAAACAATTCACCTAGCCAGTTCCGGTTCAGTAAAGGCAAATCCCAGTGAGGACCAAGCTCAACATATTTGCAAGCACATGAATAACCCCAATTTCCGGCGAGAGTAATCAAAGCTTTCCGGCGAGATTAAGAAGTGGCTACATCAATTTCCTGCCGTTGAGACTGCCGTTTGAGAGAGAGATTTTGTCTCTATTTTATTTTAATTTTGAAAACTGGGTTTTAAAATAAATGTCGGTATTTATAATTTGAAAGTAAGAAAATATATATTTTAGTGGCATTTGTTGGAGAATGCCATAAAAACCAGTTTTAAAAGGAAATTACATAATAATTATTGTTAGAGAGTCGTATACATTATATCATGGGACCTTATCTAAAAGTTTAAACTTTCGAGTTGATATGATCCTTTAACTTGATATTAGAGTTTTGTTGACCAAGTGAGCACGAGTTCATATCTCATCATCCTTATTTTTTTTTTAATTAATTAAGCATAAAATAGTATAGGCAAGTTTTAAGTTCAAAGGACTCACACTTAATGAAATTTATTAGATAATCATATAAATAATATATTGGAACCTTACCTAAAAGGTTAAGCTATTAGGTTGAAATGATCATTTGACAATCATCAACAAATGCTATCGAATTCAATTTTTTTTATGGAAATTTACTTAAATTGCTTTAATTAAATAATTTTTTAATTTGAAATGCCACTAAAATTGAATTCTATTGTGGTGTATATGGCCTTTGGCCAAGGAATAAAATGACTTCTATCAACAAAATCCCAAAATATGGGTGTTAGCTATATATGATTTTTAGTGGATTGGTCTAAGGTGGACTTGGTAATAAATAAATAGGATTTTTTTAAAAAATTTCTTCATAGCGAAAAACATATTTTTTTAATTAATCATTTTTTAATTTTGATTTTAGAAAAAGAAAATATATGTTTAAAAAAGAGATAAAGATTGAAATTTTTCATTTAGAATATTTGAGTTTTAAAGAATATATCTCCATTAAAAGAGAGAGTCAAAGTATTATTTCATCTTTATAACGGTGACCAATTTAATCACTAAAGAGTTTTTAGCCCAATGTTAGTAGTCTCTTGCAATAAAAGGCTACGAGTTTAAATCTTAACAAATTAGTTCTATTAAAAATCTTGAGTGTATAAGTAAAAAAAAGAACTATTTAATCCGTAGTGTTAACCCTCAAAAGAAGCCTAAAAACCGATGTAGTCCTAAAGATTCCATCTATAGTTAAAAGAAGAAGAAGAAGAAGTAAATATACCATTAGGATTTTGACCTATGATAAACCTCTTTATTAAGTACTCGTGTGCAGTACTCGTATCATTATATCATATAAAAATGTCATTTCTTACCTTCCTCCCTACAATAATATTGGGACAAACCTATCATTACATTTAATTTTGTAGTGTTGAGTTTAATCCTATATATGAAAATATTAATGGCACTTGTGGATGGACCATTCTAAAAGAAAGAAAATCAACATGGGTTTCGCTTTTGTTCCAAATAATGAATTCCGGACAAATCCATTCTAGAGAACACATTTTGGTTGCAAAACTAGGCTAGCTGTACTATGAATGGGTGTGATTTTGGCATCCGCTGACTGTGACTCTAAGGGTGCTATGTTTGTTATTTTGGAATTGGGAAATTTTATATGGATAAACATTTTAAATCTTTCTAAATTTTAATTCATTTAAAAATCAATTTTTTAATTTTTAATTTTGGATGGACCTTTATACATTTATTTTTCATTTAAAATTAGATCTTTCTAATAGGTTTTCATCAATTCTAAAACATAAGTGCACTTTCTCATAAGCAATTAACAAATATTTTACAAGAACAAAATTGAGTTTGAAGTAAAAAAAAAAAAAAATCTATAAATTTTGACATATTTTTAATTATTAAAAAAATTAAAAAGTCAATTATGTACAAATCACGTGTACTTTTATGATTAAAATTGATAGAAATCTAACAAAATTGTCTAATTTTAAATGAAAAATAATTGAAGAAAGTCCAACTTGAAATTAAAAGTTGAAACACTAACTCTCAAATGATTTAAAATAAATTAGAAAAAAATAGACCATTTAATCATTTTATTTTATTTCTAAAATAGCTATTAACTTTTTTTATGATTCCACTTTAAAAAGACATATAAGTACAAAGAAGAGTGAAAAAATTATGATGAATCCTACTAAAAATGGTTTGAATATTGCTCTCTATCGTTATATCTATCATTCTCCAACTGAGTTATTATCAATGTTTTCATCTTCTGTACTAATGAAAGAGTACTACAATATATACATCCAACAAAAAAGGGGCTCGTAGCCCAATTTCTCAAGATTAACAAATCATAAATTATATTTTAACTTTATAAAAAAATAGTTGTAATGTTTCACCAAATTTATGTAGATCTGGTCGTTCAAAAAACTACTTGCCGTGCCTATATAAAGAGCGTTTCGCAATTCCGGAGAGCATATTAATAATTACTAAAGAGAATATTTGTAATTCCCATGGCCACTCCTATTTCTTCGAAATCACTGCTTTCTTGTGTTATCTATCCTTTTCTTCTTCTTTATCCTTTTTGCTCTTTGAAGAAGGACAATGCTGTTGAAGGAACGAAAGCCTATTTTCATACTCTCAAAATCAATTCTCTACCCCTATTGTGTTAAATATAAAGAAATGCATGCTACTGTTCACGTGAGCTTTTGGTTACAAAGGCTTGTTTTGTATATATATTCTAACAACTTACAGTGGCTATATTTATACTAGTAACCTTAACAGAAGATAACTATTAATAAGAGTTTTAGCTAAGTATAACATAAGTATTAGCTAATTATTAGATACAAGATTAGGATGAGTATGGATAAGTGGTACTTATCCTAACATATTGGACGTCTGCAAGGAATCTTCCAAAGGTAATTCTTGATTCAAATTAAACACATTTCTTTGAAGAAGCTTTACGTTAATGTGATTAATTTTTGGTATTTAGTGAGCTATATGCAAATGTCTATGATTTAAACATGACCTTCTTCTTTTTTCTTTAAAAATAAAAGAAAAAATTTTCACATTTTGTTTTGGATGGAAAAGGACGATGTAGGAGAGGAATGGATTTGACTGTTCTTAATAATCTTAAGGTGCTTCAGCTTTCAACAAAGGTTCATCATCGCTAAAAGTGGTACACAAGTATGGTCCATGCAATCGACACAAAAAATCAATTCCTCCGCCCTCCTTCACCGAAATCCTCCGTCGAGACAAGCTTCGAGTGGACTCGATTATTCAGGCCAGGCGTTCGATGAACTTGGTTGGCAATGTTGAGCGCTTGAAGAGGAGTACGGTCCCGTTCCATGGTTTATCCAAAACCAGTGCAAGTGACTATGTTCTCAATGTTGGTTTGGGCACGCCAAAGAAGGAATTTCCCCTCGTATTTGACACAGGCAGTGGCCTCATTTGGACTCAATGTAAGCCATGCAAGCCTTGCTCTCGAAAGGCACCAGTGTTTGATCCAACCAAATCAACATCATTCAAAGGCATTCCATGTTCCTCAAAGCAGTGCCAAGGAATCGAACAAGAAGGTAATAATAAGGTAATATTATTATTTTGATATGTATTAAGAGTTAGTTTTAGTTAACTTATAAACAATATTAAAAAAAAAAATCAGTGATAAATTAAAAAAATTTAAAAAAATTCAAGCCTATATATTTTCCATGTTGCAGTATGCTCCTCTTCGAGTGCAGTTACAAAGTTGGATATGTAGACAACACCACATCCACAGGAATTTATGCCATGGAAACAATATCCTTTAAACCATTAAATTATGATTTCAAGAAAATCTTGATTGGATGCAGCGATCGATTATCCGGTGATTTAGGTGAAGAAAATTCGGGTATATTTGGACTGAACCGCGAACCAATATCTTTTCCATCCCAAACTGCTGACAAATACAACAAACTCTTCTCTTATTGTATACCATCAACTCCCGGCTCAACTGGTTACCTTACTTTCGGCAGTAAAGTTTCGAAGGATGTGAAATTTTCTCACGTATCCAAAAGAGCACCATCTTCAGACTACGACATCGAAATGACTGGAATTAGTGTCGGAGGCCGTAAAATATTGATAGATGCAACGGTTTTCAAGATTCGTTGCACCATTGACTCTGGTGCAGTGTACAGTTATCTGCCTCCGAAGGCATACTCGGTGCTCAGATCAGTGTTCGGAGAAATGATGAAAAGTTATCCTATGGTGGACGTAGATGACTCTCTAGACACATGCTATAACTTCAGGAATTATAAGACGGTAACAATACCTGCGGTTAGTGTGTTCTTCAAAGGTGAGGTTCAGGTGGATATCGATGTGTCGGGGATCATGGTCAGGGTTGACGAGTACAAGGTGTACTGCTTGGCATTTGCAGCACTGGACGAAGAATATGCAATCCTTGGGAATACTCAGCAACGGACTCACAGAGTCTTCTTTGATGGTGCAAAAGAAAGGATTGGATTTGCCCCTGGTGGCTGTGACTAAAATTGAAATGAATCTTATGCTGTACTATCTCCAAATAAATAACAATAAAATTGTATGATTTTATTTGTTTATTTATTTGGTTTGTGACACTCTTATAACAACTAGCAACCGTCATTCTCTTTATTTTATTTTATTTTTGTTTTATTTTGTGTTATTCTTATAACAACTTGTAAGTATTGAGTTAAATAGTTAAAATTAAATTTCATCTAAAAGACTTAAACTTTATGATATGTGACTTTCTCTCAACTTTATATGTTATGCATTTTTTGTTTAATTATTGAATGTGAGATATAGGTTCTAATACTCTCATTCACTTGTAGGTGCCCGTCCTTTTGGATCTATGAAGTGATTTGAACTCTAGGATTTTTATTAGACCATTGAGTCTCTTTGAAATTTTGATACTTTATAAAGTTATATAGCTTAGATTATGATCCATTCAACAAACTTAAGCCTCGCTTTCAATATTAAGTAATAAACAATCCAAGCAATAGAAAAAATAGTTTAAACAAGTGTGTTTTCGGTTGGTCAAATAAACATTTCTACCTAAAATTTTAAGACACCGAATATGATTCAAGAATAATTTTAATTATATTAACTCATATCTAATATATCTCTTCACATAAAAATCTTTTAGATTTAAAATTTGTAAAGCCCATTATTATTATTTTGTGTTGAAAATTTTAATTTAATTAATACAATAAAAGTCATAGAATTCAAACTTGTGACTATTTGATCATTTAAGTTCGATATCAAAAGAGAGAAGTAGATGTGCAAAAAGGGTTTGGTTTCTATTCATCATACATATGTTAGGCATACGAGATAGTATATCTTATGCAATATACAATACCTATAAAATAATACATAGGACTTGCTATATCATTTCGACACCTCACCTCTCTCGCAAGCTAATGGAGGCAAAAACTTAAATTGTTAGGTTAGGCTTCACGAATAATTTTATATTACTTTTTACCACACTCTCTTAAGTGAAAGCTTTTTTTGAATTGAAATTTACACCTTTTTGAATTTGAAACTTGCACATGACTATACTATATTATGCTTAATTAATTAAACCGTAAATGGAAGTATGAAACTTTTACAAGCTCATACTACCTTTTATTTAATTAATTAGAAGAGATATAGATGTAGTGAGATTCAAACTTACAATCATTTGATTATTAAGGCTATGATATTATGTTCAAAAATTATTTCAACCATAAAAATTAAACTTGTCGCTACTCGACGTCGAACAAGACTCCTCGAAAGAAAATTAAAGTCCGAAAAGTTAATTATTTATAAAATTATTTACAGAGTTTTGGAGTCACCACCTAGTATTTAAGGAGCTAGGGACCTCAAAGTAGTACTCGGTTCGTAGATTCCTAAGATAAGAAGTTGGTTACGCTTTTAGGAATATATTTAATCACCTAAAAACGCCCTTTTCGAAAAAAGATATCATGCACGGTTTAGTTCTAAATTATCTCCTAAAATCCATGTCAAGCTATTTTTCTAAATTTTAATTTCCTATTTTCTTCTAGACTAAGTGAATTTTTTAGTTTTGGACGTGGCATCATATTGAAACGATCGTCGCTCCCCTTCATTGGGTGACACGTCGATTCAAACATCGGATCCACTAAAAGCCTTGACATGATCAACGTGTCGGAGGATGTCTTAATTAAAAGGTGATCTTTTTGGTGACATTAGCCCCTATCAAATAGGAGGCTTCGTCGAAAAGTTTGAATTTGGTGACGTCGATCCGTATTAGATAGGAGACTTTATAGAATTTATTTATTTATTTATTATCATTATTATTATTATTTATGACGTCAATCTCTACCATGTAAGAGGCCTCGTCAAAATTTTTAGGTATTTTTTTTGTGATGTCGATCCCTATCGATAGGAGACTTCGTCAAGATTTTTTTTTCTAGCAATACATATTAAAGAGAAGAAAATAAATTAAAATAACAATTCTGAATTAATACCTAAAAACGACAAGAAATAAAAATAAACATGCTAAAAAAATTAAATGAATAATAAAAGATAAAAAAAGATAAAAACAATCATCCTATATAAACAGAGTTAAAAAATAAATGAATAATAAAAGTAAAAAAATCATCTCATACCTAACCCACAACTTTTACTCTTTTATTTTTTTTACCATCCCCTTTTTTTCCTTCTTTCTTTTTTTTTCTTCCCTAATTCTATTTTTTTTATTACCCTTTTTTTTGGGGGGGGAGAAAGGGTGCGGGCTTTTTTTTTTGTCTCGGGTTGGTCAGTGGTCGAAATCGATCCGACCACTTGCTTCTTCTTTTTTTTTCTTTTTTGCGTGATGGGCTAGAGTGAAATCAGTCCAACCCCCCCCTTTATTTCTCTTTGGATCGGGCCAAAGCCCGTAAACAACACTCAAAAGTTCGATCAAAGCACCGATTTTAAGCCCTTCATCCTCTCTCTCTCTCCTGTTCTTCGTTTTTCGTCTTCTCTCGCTTAATAACTTAATTTTTCCAAAAAATTACTTTCAATTAACTAAGTCAATCGTGCAAGCCAACATCCCCAATCATGAACAAAAAAGAAAGCAAATATGCAAATAAAAAAAAAAGAACGAATAAAATCAAAGCAAGCGTAATCGGACCTCAAGTTGACTCGGAATTATTGATGAACAACCCGTAAAACTCAAAAACGCGAACCCAAAGTTGTTGATTTCTCACAATTTTGAACCCTCGTCGTTGATTCCTCGTTCACTAAACCCCAAACATATGATATTTTACACAACACGGACTTAAACACCCATTGATCGACCGAGGGAATGATGAATCGAAACCCGAAGTGAAGAATAAACCCGTAAAAATAAGAATGTCAATAAAGCTACCCAAAAACGTGAAGGATCAAAAATGCAGGAATTGAACCTCGAAATTTGGAAAAAGGAGTGAAGAAAGAAGTGAGGATGGATATTTAGCCCCTAGAAACATAAAATCAAACACCAAAAGAGACTCGATAACCTATGAACTAAAACCCGTAACTCAAGAACACCAAGAACACCCAAAAACCAAAACCCAAAAAACTCGATAACCAAAAAATAAAAGAGTTTTTTTGTTTGAGGAAAGAGAAGAGGCCATTCGATCTCGATGAGGATTTTGGAAAAAAAAATGGAAGAAGTAGAGAAGGGAAAAGATGAAAGGTATAGGGATTTGACCTTAGGTAATTTAAGGCCGGCTTAGGAAAAATGTTATCGGGCTTGGGTTTGGTTTTGTTGAAGAATTGGAGAAGGGTTGGGCTTTGTTCAACCTATATAGGGGCTTGAAAGAGCTAGTCTTCGACCTAGCTCGCATGACTAGACTTGGGTTAAGCTTAACCCAACCCAAGCTCTAAAAGGAAGGAGAAAGGCTAGCCTAGCCCAATGGGTCGAAGGTCGAATGGGCCCAAAAGGCTTAATAAACCCTATTTTAGCTATTTTCCTAGGAAAACCAGTTCTACAATTTTAATACATGCCTTTTACTTTTATGTCTAGTTTATTTATTTAGTCAATGTTTAGTTTTTTGGGTCTTCTTTCGATTATTAGATTGGGTGATTAATAAGTAGACGAGTTGTCGAGTCTCTTAATTTTTAGGGATTGATGACGACTCCCCACTAACAAAAAATATAAAAGAAAAATATAAAAAGTTAATAAAATGATAAAAATAAATAAATAAAGATGAAGAAAAAGAAAAGAAAAATGTTGCAAGAAAAAAGAGACAAAAAAATGAAAATATTAGATAAAAATGAATTAGAGAGAGAGAGAGAGAGAGAGAGAGAAACCAAAAGAAAAAGAGAGAAAATGCTAAGGAAAAAATTAACAAAGTTTCATATTCAGTAGGGATTGATGTTAACTCAAATCAATCACATCTTAGTAATTAAGTTGTTTTTCGACATATTGATTATATCAAGACTTAAATTAAATTTGATGTTGAATTAATGAGACTTTCGACAATAGAATCCGACAATCGATTCAATATGTGTTACAAAAAAAAAAAATAATTTGGCTTAGGAAATAAAACTTAGAATTTTGTCTTAGGATCAATTTTGATAAAAAATAAAAAAATAAAAAAATTAAGAGATAAATTTTAAGGTTAAATTAAACGTGATACCTTTCCTAAAAATTGATTCTTTGGGGTGATTGATATTCTTTCAAAAAAATAATCAATTTCTCAAGAATCTTTGAACTAGTGTCCATTTTAGGTTCTTAGTTACTTTTAATATCATGTGGCAACTCTAAAATTAATAATAATTCATATCCTCAAATACACAAAATCTTAAAATAATTACAAAATCTTAAAATAATTGTAATAAATTTTGTTTTTTAGGAGTTCCGGAAACGTGAGGCAGCGACAATAAATACCAACCTCTTGTGAGGGGGGTTCGAATTTTTTTGAGGCCTAGCAAAACTTATGATGTTTTTCTGTTGTGTTTTATATTTTTCTATTATGCTTTTCTATCTGGTTTGTCGTTACAATTGTTAAGCTCGGCTCATTTTAGTCTCTTGTGAGTAATGAAAATTTTTTGAATTAATGATGCGGTTTTTCTCTGAAACGAAAGGTCTTCTTTAATTATATTTACATATTTCCTCTAATCATCTTTTTCTAGTCCATATAAGCGTATGAGCAAACTTATTTTTATTTTCAACTAATTTGTTTTTCTCCCCACTTTTATAATTTTCGAATACTTTATTCTCAATCTCATTTCTTCATTTTCACTCAAGTAACCAAGGTTCAATCATTAGTATCAACAATTTAAATTTGCAATAATAATAATAATAATAATAATAAAATCTGATTCAAATTCACCATATTAAAGAATTTCTACAAAATTAATTTGCTACATGATGGTTTTGGTTTGTTGTTTTCTTTTATTTTGTTTTCATCTTCTATGCTAGCTAAAGAAAGAGTACAATAATACACACAATAATAGAAGCATCAAACAAAAAATGAAGGGTCTCGTAGCACAATTTTCAACATGAACAATCATATACGTTT